TACTGGACTGCTCTTCTTTTTGTTACTAGCTAGTGCTGAGTAAGCTTGTTATTGGTGGCATTCTCCTTGAAGAGAGCTCATTTTGCACGTGGTGGGGCAGCAGTGCTGGTCTGCATTGAGCCCACCTGGTCCTCAGTCTGGTCAGGCTGCCTTTTGGCTATCTCCCAAAAAGGAAACAGAGGTGAAAGCTTCTGGCTGTTTTTGTTGTGGATAAAAGACACAGCTTTGTCCCTGCTGGTTAATGGTAAGTGTTTGGGAAGAGTTATCTCCCAGTGACTATCATTTTAGAAAAGGTAGGTGTGCAAACAGAGTGATTTCTTATTTCATGGCTCTGGATCATTTTAGGCAGCTTTGTACTGAGAAATGCAGAAAACTGGGCTTAGCCGAAAGTGAGTTGCTTAGCAGACGCTTGCTGTCATACAAATTAGACACAGCTTTTGCATCTTGGAGTGCTGCCAACAGAGAACTAGCTATTGCATTAAATGTCTACTACCACTCGTGATCCAAACTGAAAGCGAGGAAATTAATCACTTTTCTAGCTTCACCTTTGTCGTTAGCACTTTGGCATTAAATTTGTTTTTCGTCTTTTAAACACAAACTATAATATACTGCTCCGAAATTCAAATCAATGAGTGTATGGGGAGAATAGGAAAAGATTTAATTTAGCAAGAGAAAGTGATGTGCATTTGTAGGATCTGTCTCATTTTAAAATGGAAAGGGATGTTAACTTTGTTAGTGCTGTGTAATGTCTGTTACACAGGAATTCATACCTTCAAAACTAAAGTTCAAATAAACATGTAACTTGAAGAGTGGATACCACTGATTTGAACTACTAGTGTATAAAGAAATGGCAGTGTTCAATAAACACTTTCCTTGCCTTTTTACCCTGCCCCATCCAAGTCAACAACTCAACATGAAGTAAACAAGTGGATTTTAGAAAATTTAGAGTTCAGCAATTTCTTGAGGATATAAGGTTTCTTTCAGTCATTGCTGTCTGTTGTGAGAGGGTTTTGACACTTGAAGGGCTGTGCTGGATTAAATTGGTAAACTTAACTGTTTATGCCAATGCTGCTGACTTCTGCCTGTTCTGTACTCTGTAGTCTTTATCTTCTTAGCCAAGCTCTGTATCACCAAGGTTTTGATCTATTTACTTATCTATTTATTTACTAAATAGTATCCAGAAGCCCTAGGTCATAGAAATGTTTATTTTTATTTTAAAGGTTTATTCTTCAAATTAGACAACAAATTAGAAATTAAGCTCTTCAGAAGACAAATAGAAAATCCTTAAGAAAAATTCTGCTTAATTAATTTCAGGATTGTGCATGGGAGGGGAGATAGCAACATATTGCTGGTATTTTTAAGTTCTGATATTGGTAGTACTGTCCCTGTAGTGTATCAGTACTTTTCAGAAGAGGAATAGGAGAGAAAACAGTAGGTAAATCTCACTTCTTGTGGCTCTGAAATGCTTGCAAGCATTAGATTTATGCTCAGTCTTTACAGGTCTGCTACAAGGGTTTCTTCCTGCTTTTCCTGCAGCCTTTTTTTCTTTGATCTGCAGAGCTCTAAAAAGCCCTCCCTTTACTATAGCTACAGGGGTGATTTTCTGTTTCCTTTTGCAAAGGAATCTGAAATACAAAGGCCAAGTAGGAATGTGTGCTTGCCTGGAAGTAATGTGCTGAGTTTGTAACTACTGGAGAAAATAATTTGGCAGATACTTATTTCTGTGTGCCTCCCTAATGCTAAGAACAATTAGACACCAGCTGAAGGCGGTGATTGCCAAAAGCACATTTGGATGAGGTGGGTGTTTCTGGGTGGTACAGTCATGCATTAACAAGTGTGACTGCGTCATGAAAACAAAAGTGTATTCATACCCCATTCCTTCTGTAGGAATGTGCTATCCTCAAGATAAAAGGACACCATTTGGTAGGGAGGCAAGGAGAAGGACTAAGCACAGGAAAATGAGGTGTACTTAACTTCTTACTGTTGTAAAAATGTCTACCTGAATTGGATGTAGCCTTCATAGCTACTTCTGGAGTCATCCTCTGTGAAAGATGAAGTGGGAATAGGTCAGCTGCTCCAAATCCCGTTCTCCAAGTGTTTGAAGCAATCTAAATGGATGGGCAGTTGGGCAGTAAGCAGCAACTAGGAGGGCAGCTGCTGCAGCGATAGGGGTCCAGGGAGCTTTGTCCAAAGCAGAGGTAGATGGAAAACCCTTTCCTCCAATACATATGCTCTCTTCTGAAAAATAGAGTTAAGAAAGCAGACTTTTTTTTTTTTTTTTTTTTTTTTTTTTCCTTTTTCTATTTGGAGGACTGAACTCCTACAGGGTAAAGAGCTAATTGTAAAAAACAAGTCTTAATTCCAGTGCATAAAATCTTGCAGTCTTTCTCTTGCTTTTTTAATTCAATGCTGAGCTCCAGTTGGTGCCTGTGTATCTTTTGGGGAAGGAAAAGCTGCATCCAGCAGAAACCTTAGCTATTGTGTGTCTTGAAGGAGAAAATTAGAGGTTTTCATAGCATATCACATGCACAGATAGATGCTAAAGATGAAATGGTACTGTGTGGGGATGTGTAATGGAGTAAGTGTTTGTCACCACGGAAGTTTCAGACACCAAGAAATGATAGTCCACAATCTGTAAGTGCTTTTAATGAGATAACTACCTGCTTGCTTGCTTAGGTTTCTTGTAGTTGCATCTTCCACCACTGGGGTTTTGAAGGATGAGTGCATAGAGCTCAGTGAGAAGGTTACAAAGAAAACCCACCCTGTATTTTGAGAAATATTTAGCAGCTTAATTAGTTTCAGAGTATGGTATTGTTGACAGCGCATAAATGAGAGCTATTTTCTATTTATCTACATACTATTCTATTCTCTGAGCCTTATCTATTATGAGTATCTTCAGTACCTTTTCTCCTCAAAAGCAATCCTTGTTTTTTCTTCCAATTTGTTTTCACAAGACATTGTCAAACATCTTGCGTGTAAGAGAAAAATAGTACACTCTACCCTCCAGCAGATTTGTAGGGAAGAGCAGGGGGACAGGAAGCCTTGGTTTTAAATATCCAGAGTTAGTACTTAAAAAAACAAGGGATGCAGTACTTTAAACTTAAACGTTTCACTGCGGTTTTCCTTGCGGCCTTCTGCTAATCTGGTAATCCTTTGATGAAGCTGAGTTCTGTGGCTTTCTGGAGACAGCAGAGCACAGCTGATCCTGAACACAGTTATTTTCTTTCAGCATAATATAGCCATCGCTGAGGTCACAGAGACTGCTGCAGCTGTACTCTGACTGCAGAGTTATCAAATGCATTATTTTATGTGGCATACAAGCCAAATTACATGCTGCCGCATCCTAGTGCCTTCAAAATTTAGCTGTGCTTCTGCTGCACTAGAGCAGCAGTAAGTAAGAGCTAGAGCTCTAGTAAGAGCTATGGTGTGACAAGCAAGATTTCCACTAGCTTCATAGAGGGGTTAAAATCAACAGTAAAACAAACGCATGGTTTCTGGTACTTGTGAATAATATCTCATTTGGATCTTGATGTGAAAGCAGAATACAGTAAATTTCAAGTGACAGAAACAAATTAGTTCAATTTCTCAGGTCTCTAACCTTATCATCTTTCATGAAACACCTTTGACAGCTGTTGTGGCAGCTTGTATCTTGGGGGAAAAATACAAGCTGGAGTGCACACAAGGTCTTTTCAGCTTTTCTGGGACTGGGGACCAGGGCCAGAAGCTTTGGGAGAAGTGGGGTTTTGGAGGCATCCTCCAACTACGGGATCCCTCCCCAGGTGTGTACCACAGACTGAGATCACTTCCCTGCCCTTTCTGAAGAAGGGCTGCAGAGGCTTTTCTGGAGACCCATGCTGCCTAAACTGTGGTTGGAATCTGCTTCCTAACATGACTGGGGAGAAGGCGCACAGCCTTAGTGCTTGAGGCAGAGTTGAGAAAAGACGTGGGGAACATTATGCTTCTGGGGGTGGAGGAGCATGTGCTGAGCTGAAACTTCATTTGGTGGCTCTAAAGCAAACCTCAGTAAGCCAGCCACCATCAACAGTGATATGGGGGCCCTGGCACAAACTGTGTAGATAAGTTTGGTACTCAGAAATATAGAGGAGTTGTGCCTGGACAGGCATGTGAGATAGAGATGAAGTCATGAGCAGGGATTATCTCATGTTTCTACCAACAGTAGAAGGACAACCAGTAGCTTTTTACCATAGACCCTACCGAAACAGAGTCCCAGAGCACCAGGCTCTGAAACCCTAATCACTGGAGGTACACTGACTACCATACCATTCCCTTGGGGCTATGGCTATGTGTGTCTTGAATGTAATGTGTGTCTTGAATGCAATGGCAGAGGGCACATAATATTGGCTCACTATGAACTACTGGGCTGTGAAAGTGTCTTGCCTACTACTGCGGCATTGCAAGGGCATAACACATGAAAGTCCTGGGGAAGAGCAGGGCTGGAGCAGAACTCAGCTAGTCAATATAGCATAATGCTAGGAATATTTAAGGCTGCCACCCTTTGTTCAAAATATCTTGGCTCTGTGCTGCAGGCCTATGAAGTTGTATTTTCCGTTTTACTGATAGCAGGGACCAGTATCTGTTTGTCGTTTACTTAAAACTTCATCAGTCACTTAGGGTTGCTTTTTTTTTTTTCTTCTTTTTTAAAATTTGTTTCTTTTATCTACTTCAAGAGTGTGTATTTCCTTCATATTTAATGTAATACCTATATGCTTCAAACTAAGCAGCTCTGCAAATGCCAGCACGGTCAGGGTCTCAATGAATATATGCTACCTCTTTCTTCAGAGCAAAACCAATCCTGGAAGATCCATCTCTTTAAAACTTGGGCAATTTGTGCTCCCAGTGCTACTTATATAAAAGAGTCATAATGTGAATGCAGAGTCTTGGTGCTTTTCCTTAATTACAACAAATGTGTTCTCAGTTATATAAATTTATACACGTTAAAAAAAGCAATGAGTATGTTTTGCTTATATGAACAAAAGCTCTTAAAGATATTGCCTACACCGCACGAGCTTCTGGAAGGCTTTCTTGAAATCTTCATTAAAGATTGTGTAGATTAGAGGGTTAATAAGGGAATTAATATATCCCAGCCATGCTAGGAAATTAGACATGTCTTCTGAAATGTGACATCTTTCACAGGTGTTCACAACTACTTCTTTTACAAAAAAAGGGAGCCAGCAGATCACAAAAGCTCCCAGGATCAGACCCAGAGTAGTTGCTGCCTTTCGTTCTCTTGTACTAGAGATTCTCTGTTTTTTCCAAGACTTCTCATGCTTAGATTCAGATCTGGGGCTTCGTATGCTGACGTTGATTTTATCACAGTCCACCAGTGGATCTGATGTCTTCTCCATTGTGCTGGGCATTGAAGTCAATTTGGTGCTTCTCTCACCTGCGTCCAAAAGGACTTGTCCATTTACCTCCTCCCTGACTATCCTGCTGACACTTCTTCTGTGAAAGGTCTTTGCTGCCTTGTATATCTTGTAATAAAGGATCAGAATCAAGGCCAGGGGGATATAGAAGGCGCCAAATGTAGAGTAAATGGTGGAAACAATGTGGTCATGTTTGATGATGCATTCATCATCCCTGCTGGTTGTCTGGTGCCGCCAAAACAAAGGCGGCATGGAGATAAAAATGGATATGATCCATACCACTGCAATCATGATACCAGCATGCTTTGGTGTCCTTTTCCGTGCGTATTCCACAGCATCTGTGATTGCTCTGTAACGATCCAAAGCAATGGCAGAGAGATGCAGGATGGAACACGTGCAACATGTAATGTCCACACTCAGCCAAATGTCACACACTACTTGCCCCATGATCCAAGTCTCCTTTACAATGTAGACAATGCTGAAGGGCATCACTAGGACTGCCACAAGGAAATCAGTCACTGCGAGAGAGCAGATCAAATAGTTGGCGGGGTGGTGGAGTTTTCTTGTCACAATTATTGCAGTCATCACCAGAGAATTGATGGCCGTTGTCATTAGCGCAAGCACAGACAGGGTAATGGAAATGAGAATCTTGGATGTCACCCACTTGAATAGTTCTTCTGATGTACTGTTTTGTTCTGTTGAGTTTATTAAATCCATGTTCCCTTTTAAAGGTGATCTTTACCAGTAGAAATTACCTGTTGAAAAAGTAAAAACATGCGTCTTCAGTTTGCAGAGAATCTTGAATTTGTCATCTTAAAAGATTATAGGCTCCAAGCTTACAGGAAACTCAAACTTATTGTTAGAAATGATTCTAGCTCCAGACAGTGATGTTCTTGGCTACTGCTGTGTGGGATGATGCTCTGCCTCTTCTTTGTCCTTGGTCATGCTGAAGTGAATGTCACATTTGAAAGACAGGGGAGAGAAGAATGCAGGGTCCTGAGATGGCACTGCCCTGCGGGGTGATGCAAACCACTGTAGGGGACAACCATGTCTGTCCTTAAAGCAAGACACTGACATCAGTGAAGCCCCCGGTTGCAGAGTCAGGCATCCTGCTAATTGCTTACTCCAGATAAATTGTAGTGGGTTCTTGAAACTGATTAAACATGGGCAATCTCATCCTAAGGTAAGTACTAATATTTCTTCTAGGCTAGTGCAGTCTATACTGCTAAGCAATGTAAATACCATTGAAAACCTTAATTCCCAGAAAGTTAGTGAAATAATTCTCTCTATATCAATTAACTTTTTCCTATCAGTATGTGACTTGTATAGAGAAGCATAGACTCTTTCACCTCGGACATTGTTTTCAAGAGGAAACAGAAAAGTGAAAAATTGTAGTACAAGTAGGAAATAGAACAATTATGTGTTGAAAATTTCTATTTTCTCGTGCAGCCCTAAAATTAAACAGCAACAGCTGAATATGTCTTCAAGTTTCAGATGAATGACTTACTGTCTAACTGAAATATATGTTGATTAGACTCCTAAGGATGTCATTACTTTTCCTCAGGTTTTGCTTTTCTGTGGCTGCTGCCATAGTAAACTGTCCAGAACTTGAATGCTGGCTGTTTCTGTAGTGGTTATCTCTATGGAAACAGTACAGCCCCTGCATGGCTCTGCAGAAAGTAAAAGGCAGGGAAATATTGATAAGATGAACTCCAGATTATGTTCTGGGAATGTGCTGTTTTACCCTATGTTCTCATCAAAAAAGGATTTCTGAGCACTCTGTAGTAGGAACTGAAGTAGGAGTTCCTAACTTTTTTGGACTAGAACTTGTAACTCACAGGAAGAAGGTCAGGTTGGGTTTCATACTCTCATGAGTTCTAGTGTACAGTTTCTTGTGCACAGAACTTCTACTGGACAAACCCCTTGGTGGCGTTTCCTCTGTCCAATTCTGGAGTATGGTGAGTGAGTTGTGCTTCTGTTGCACTGGGTGCTCAAGAAGAGGAAAAAACTAAATAGGTGACTTCCCCCCCCCCCCCCCCCCCCCAGGAAAAATGGGCCTCATTAGCATAACTGCAGCCTTTTTGTATTGTGCTGAAATGGCTTTAAAAAACTCATATATTGTAAATAACCTTTAGTTCTTTGGTTGAATTTTGTTTGATATTCTAACCAGGACAATGCTTAATGTGCTGCTGGGCTACTTACAAAGGTTTTTATCATTGCTTGACCCCAACCATTAACTGTATGGAAGGACAAGGACAGGAAATACATTTTATTTTGTGTTATGTCCAAACATTGAGCAGAATCTTGTCCTGTACATGAGCTGATTACAGCATGCGCGTGCTCTTTTTCTCTCTCCATGCCCCTCTTTTTGAACTTGCAATATACATCACATGTATAAAAATATATCTTTTGTCATGTCAGTGTCACCTTAAAACCTTCTGAATTCACAGTAATTGCTAGGTTGCAGATATTTTTGTCCATAGATAACTGCCTTCCAGTGAAGGAACAGGCAGATATAGTATTATCTAGTGAATGTTCAACCTCTGCTAAAAAAAAAACAAAACAACTTCATCTTCCTGCTTGTTTAAAAAAAAAAAAAAAGGCTGTTGTTGGGAAAAACTAAGTCTTCTGTTGATATCCAGCAGTTGATCATATTTCAGAACAGTTACTCATTACTGTTAATTACCATATAAATTTCTGGCTCTTTAAATATTAGTTTTAATTGCAAGCAAGCAAAAAGCAATTTAGAATGGAATTTATAATGAAAGCTGATTAATAGTTTTTGAAAGATTATTCATTCTGATAATACAGAGTAAGGAAAATAGTGTGTTCACAGAAATGGTGTGTAGGAATAAGTAGGTTTCCTTAGTAATGCAAAGATTTGGAGGCTCTTTGTAAGTACAGTGACAGCAGTGCTCTTACTTGCCATGTGGTTCTCTCTGTTAGATTGTTAGCGAGTGTGTTCTGATTTCATTCAGGCTGATAGCATGGACCCTCAACAGAATTGAAGACTGCCACCCAAGTATTCATTGCTGCTGTTTTATAGATATTTGTGCCGGGCTCTTCTGTTTACAGGATGTAACCTGCTTTGTAAAGGTAGCCATCTGGAAGTACACCCTTTTCCTATGTGGAGTGTTAGGACCTTCAGAACCCCAGAAGCTGGTGCCTGGAGCATTCACTGTGTGCATACCAAGGAGCATGGCTCTATGGGACTGGGCACATTCTGGATCTGAAATGTACTGGGGGTGGAGGAATAACTCATAAAATGGTTTTGCAGTTCAAGTCCCTGTTAACTGAAGTTATTTATCACAGAAGGTCACAACAGACCTATTTCTAGAAACGCATACCATAAATTACTGCAAAATTACAGATAAATCAATTGAGCTAATAACAACTGAAGATAATACAGAATTCTGCCTAACAAGCACCCTCTCAGGAGCAGCCTGGGCAAATAGATATGCTTTGAAGCATGCCATGAATATCAATATAACACATGATGGAAACAAATTTCAGAGTCCTAGAGAATACGTGCTTCCAGCTTAGAAATGCACAAATCCATTTATTGCCTGAACACAGAGACTTTGATTTGTTACAGAATGGTAAAATAAGTAAATAAATAAATAAAAAGGTCCATTTCTGTGCCTTGAATGCAAGGCACAATTGTGTAGCAAACCTGCTTTTCTTAGTCATGTTACCAATCTAAAAGTCCCTGTGTTGTAAAATGATACACTGCAGTATGTTTTCAATCAGGTGCTACAAAGATGATGCTTGCTTTTAATTTTTGGGCAGTGCTTCAAATTCTTTCAGCCAACAGAAATAGTTCCAAATGGTTAAAATGACAAACTCTGACAGGCTTAGCCCAGAAAGTTACCACTGCAGATGTCTCTACTGCCATGTTATTGCACTTGGAGCAAAATCGAGAGGTGGAAGGTTCTCCTTCCTCCGAAGCAGCTGAAATGCAGAATCCGAGGGATCACTCGTGCTGCCGGGGAAGGAGAACTTGCCTTGTGATGCTGGGTACTGTTAGAGTATTGTGAGAAGCAGTGTGAAGTTGTTAACCTCTGGCAAATGGGCAGAGTGCAAAAATAGCTCCTGTCCTCACCTCCCTGCTGTAATCAACTCACCTTCATGTTTCCTACTGAGGCCACATGAATTCGGCGTGCTGGCTGTGGTTCCTTTGGCACATCTCCCTGCAGAAGGCTGTGGTTCTTCCTGTGCTACCCCGCCAGCATTACCAGACACTCTGTGTTTTCCAGCCTGCAAAACACCAGATACTTCAGTCCTGAGTGTGATAAACCCAGATAACAGGAGATCAGGGGAGTTCTGTTCCAGGGGTAGTTCCTGCAGAGGTACCACCAGAGCTGTCTTTCAGCTCCGCCTGGTGACTGAGTACAGTGCTCAGTAAAACCTGCATGGTCAGCAGGGCTGCTGTGTTGTGGGGGGTTAGTCTATGATGCTCTCCTTTCTTCATCTGCCATGTTCTCTGCTTAGATCTGTTGGGTTGCAGCATACTCCATCGCTGCTTGTCAACTTGCTTGTGCTCAGGGGATACCTTCCCTACTTACTGTCATCAAGTCTGTAGCAACCTCTGCATTTACTTATATGGAAGAATGATGTTCAGAAAGTAATTATGCATTCCTTGCTGATGCTTCTAATGATGAAGTTGAGGGTTTGTTGCTGTGCATTTTTTTTTCTTGGCTCCTTTCAGAAAATTAGTCACTCATCTGTGTTTGCTCTTTATTTTGTATTCCTCTGCCATCTATTTTAATCTAACTGAAGAGGATGGGGAAGGAAAGAGGAAGGGGAAGACAGTCCCCTAGCCAGCGCTAGAGGCAGGAAGGAGGAGCAGCGAGAATGGCAGAGTTCACAGCATGACAGGATTGCTTACATAAAACAGTAAGAATGCCTCCCAAATGTGGTTTCAGTTGTTGGGTAAATGGACAGTGAACCTGTTTTGAATTTGAACGTTTTGAGTGGAGAAAGGGAAACATTCAGACATTCTTAATATTGCAAGGGGAGATAGCAGTGATTCATCTCTGTAGTTCATTGGATCACAAAACTCAGATCCCCTTCCAGTTTGAGGCTGATCAGAATCCACAGTTTAGACCTCTCAGGACAGTGGTCTGGGTGTAGTTGTCCTGGAAAACAGTGCCTGTGGGTGCTGTGTGAATAAGTGTCTGTGAGAAACAAAGTTGTGTGTTGGCATCCCATCCCCCTGTGTGAGTGGAATGGTCTCTGCGTTAAATCCGTAGAAGTACATATCCCCTTGTGTGGGTGGTCAGGATCTAAGCTTGGACCCTCCAGATCTTTAGTTTAGTTTGTGTTTTACAGTCTGAAATCTTCTTTTTAACCAAAAATTTTCTGTATTAGGAAAGGATGTTTAAAAATTTTTCCTCCATAGAGCTGGAAGAGAAAGAAAAAGCAAGTATTGCAAATATTTTTTTAATTTTGTTCCAAATTTTGTGGTTTTTTTTTTCTTTTTTTTTTTTTTTTTTTTTTTTTTTTTTCTGTTTGCTTTGACAATGAATCAAAGTGATTATTCACCCATCTCTGCAATTTGTACAGCTAATTTTGTACTGTGCAGGAGTGATTTGCTTTCGTGTTTATCAACTAAATTTATACCACAAAGTACAGAATTATGCAGAAGTATAATGTAAATATTTTATATATATATAATATATATTTTATATATATAATATAAAAAAGTATACAGAAAG